TTCATTTTTAGGATGGACATGTGGTCATAATCATATGTGATCTACATACCCGAAAGGGGGGCGATAACGCCGGGGGGGGGAGAGTCTATTCTCTTTTGAGAAGGAGAATCTATGACGACGGACGGCGTCGAGGCGGCAACGGGGTGGCGACGGCGGCAACATAGCCGACAAACCGACAGACAGGCCCAGACGACGGGCGGCGACGAGGCGGCGACGGGGCGGCAACGGCGGCTACATAACCTCCAGATTGACAGACAGGACCAGACGACTGTCTCAGCCAGAACTCCTCGAAGAGTATGTCGTGCAAGCCTCAAGCGGTCCTCAGAACGTTCGTTGCGGCCTATGGGAAAGCTGGGACGGCTCGCCACTGCTCGAAAGGAGGGGCACTGGAGGAGACAGGAGGAGGCGAAGTGTTCCGCTCTGCTTCAACAGTGGCGAGCGCGCCGTGCCCGGTATGATCCGGGCAGCCTGCTGTCCTGGCTGAGTGTGCGCGCCCTGGAGGAGCGAGGAGGACGACAAATGATTCGGAGGCAACTCTCGGGGATGGACAGACCTCCCTTTAGTAAAACGTGGTTTAGTGAAAATGACCTGAGGCCCAAACCTGGCGGGCGCACGCCTGGGAAAATAACGGCCGCGGCGCCCTCTCGAGAACCGAAAACGGACAACTCACGAATCGACGTGTCACTGTTGGGGGTTCTGTCCACCCGCGAAACTCATGGGAGCCTTTCATGTCAGCTTGCCGGCTGTTGCGGATCGGCGGTGGGGGACGCTAACGGACGCTGGCTTGTCGATCACATCTGCGCTTCCTCATCGACTACCAGACGCCAGCGCACGCGAATGCACTCTAACAAAAAAAGTCCCGAGGACATACAAAGCTCCCATGACTTGCGACCGAAGGATGAGGTGGTGGGCAGTCTAGAGTCAAGATCCAAGAGTTGCCATACAGTCGGGGCGTTGACCTAAGGAACCCTAAGTAAGGAACGAGGCTCCTTTTTTTCAATAAGTTAAACTTCTATTCCCCATCGAAAACCTAAGGACAACCTAAGGCAAGCTGCGAAACAATTAAGGAACACGGAGCCCCTCCCCAACGAAAAGAGTTCCTTGTTTAGCGCCCCGACTGTAGGTCCGAAGGCCTGGGTCTGATGGGGCCACGGGAGACGGGGAGCGACGCGGGAGATGGAGGCGAGAGGGGAAGAGGGGGAATAGGAGCCTTTGGCTTTGTGGGCCCCGGAAACGGCAGGGCCGTTGTTTCACCGTTTCCCAAAAAATGTCCCTTGAAAATGGAAACGGTAAAAAAACGGAGACCGGAAACGGCAAAAAAAAGGCTCCAGGATTGGAACCGGAGCCGGAACCGGTCAAAAAACGGCGACGGAACCGACAAAAGAAAACGGCAAAACGGAACCGGAAAAAAAACGGCCCTGTCGTTTCCAGGGCCCACTAAGGCCTTTGGCTTGCAGGCGTCGGAAGATCAGCGAGGGAAAGAACCTTGACACGTGAGCGCAGTCGGAAGCGGAAGAGGAAGAGGAAGAGGAGGAGGAGGAGGAGGAGAGGAGGAGTAGGAGGAGAAGGAAGAGGGAGAGGGGGAGGAGGAGGACGAAGAGGACGGAGGAGGGAGAAGGGTTGGAAAGAAAGAGTAGGGCGAGGAGTGTGGGAAACGTAGGAGGGAAGAGGGAGGACAAGAAGCAGGGCCATGTCGTTGCATGACCGCGGGACGCGTCCACGACTGATTCATCATTGCACTGCATACTAGAACTTCACAGCAACCTCCACCCTGCGCCGCATCGTGCCATGAAGCTCACACTGAAAAGAAACGCCAGAGAACGAATGTTTTCCAGAACTGCCGTACGCCACACCCAACGCCAACCGACTTTGGCCACTGGCCGCTGCCCTGCCATTGCCACGGGGGGGAAATGACGGAATCGCAATGACGAGCGGCGATGAACTCCCCGAACTAAGCTTGGCTTGGAGACACGGTGTGCCGTTCTGAAGAAGTACCTCACACTCTCGAAGAGCTGGAGTGCAAAACATCCTGAACTCCACCGGAGTTCGCATGCGACCCCCACCCATTTCGGCGCATCCCTCACACGCTCCGTGGCTCCCGAAGATGCTCCCTCGAAGTCTCCCGTGGCCAGATTTGCATGAATACCCCCGGCCACTTTGGCACACCACTCGCACGCTCCGTGGCCCCTCAGGGAGCTCCACCAAAGGCTCCTGTGGCAAAGCTCCCATGCGTCCCTCCGTCCACTCCGGCACACCCCTCACACGCTCCGTGTCCCCATGCGGTCGCGCACGTTGGGACCATATGTGGAGCTCCCCATGGGGCCACGAAACAAATAGGAGGTGTGCCGATGCCGAAACTGCCAGGGCGATGCTATGGGGTCGCGCCCGCCAGGACCCTCGGTGGAGCCGACTGTTTGGCCACGAAACGTTTGATGGGCATACCGAAACGGGCGGGGCGGGGCCATGCGATCTGTTCCACTGGGACCATCGGTGGAGCTTCCCATGGGGCCACGTCACTTGCGAGCGGTGCGACGGGATGGACGTGCGGATGGACGGGCGGACGGCAGAGGCAAGGAGAGAAGTGGAGTGGGCTGGGGGAAAAAGGAAGAAAGAGAGGACGCACGACGCAGCGGGACTCAAAACGAGGACCCAACTCAAAAAGAAGGGTTCGGAACCAGGAGCTGCGCATCACCCTCCCCATTCTGAGGACTGGCTCGAGGGGGGGCGTAACATCGAGCATGAATCGGCTATACATCACCGACGGATAGGCGATTGGCCGCCGATAGCGAATCCGTCTCTTCCTGGGCGGGTTGGGCTATTGGGCCAAATCGGCGATCAATAGGCGGTAAGACGCCATCCCTCTCCATCGTTACCTCCTATCTTTGGGCTCATTTCTTGGCTCTCCGGCGACCGTCAGGGACCATCCGGACACCCCTGGAACACTCTCGGCGAGGCGCACCTGCTGGAACGCATCCCGATGTTGGAAAACCTCCGAAGCCCGACGAAATTTTCCGACAAATATTGTTGTAATGCATCGTCTCTCTCGTCTGTCCCGTCGCGCCAACCTCCGACAACTAATCATTGTTGTGTTGCATTGTGTGTCCCGTCGCGCCACGATCCGAGTCAAATCTGTGTCGAATCCGTGTCGAGCGCATCGCATCCGTGTCGAATCCACGTCAAACCCACGTCGAATCCAGGGCGGAGCACAAAAAAAGACTGCCATCTACAGGGCAGAACATGTCACACAAAGATAACAAGTAACCGTCGGAGGTCTCCCCGAAGTCGAAAACCAGGTGGGGTCCGAGTAGATGGGGTCGGAGGGTCGCGCCGCATCGCCGATGCACCGATGATGCATCAACGATGCATCGACGATGCATCGGTGACGTCGGCGGTGCATCGGCGACGCCAGTCGTGAGAAAATCGGGCTCGTACCGACGACGCGGCGCGATCCTCCGACCCCATCTACGTAATTAGACGATCCGACCTGGGAGGCCCAGACGCATCTGTGAGACCGTGCATCCGCGGGATCAAACCACAGAATCCAAATCACGACGGTGCGGATACGGATGCGTTCGCCGCTCATGACTTTTCCAATACTGGAACCCCAAAGTCCCGACCCCTTCCCTGGGACCGGCTTTTCATTCGGAGTCGTTCTTTGACTGTCCGACAACGACGAGAAACCTTCGAAAACTTCGCAAAACCTTCTCCGACCCCATCTGGAACTCACAAAACCTTCTCCGACCCCATTTGGAAGGCCTTGGGCTCCTCGGGCATCTGCTGACCCGGGTCAATGCAAACCGGGGTCAGTCAAGCTTTGCAGGATCCTGCATCATGCTGCAAGATTCTGCAAAACCCTGCAGCATCCTCTGCACGCCAAACCGGGTCAATTCAAACCTGGCAGTGCAGGATCCTGCAAGAACTGGCGCACAGACTGACCCCCGTTTGCATTGATCGGAGACGAGCAAGGGGGCGGGGCTTCTCACGCGCCTCCTGAGAAATTTCTTTGTCTTCAGGGAAGACTTGACAACTTGTCGGAAGGCCGGGGGACTTCCGAACCGTCTGAGAAGGCCTTCTTCTTCTCACTTCCACCCCTCGCTCGCGGCCGATTTGACGCGGGGGCGGCGATGGGAGCGGATATAGCCCAGGGCGGAGCAGCACATGTACCCACCCAGAGGCGCCGATGGTCCATGCCTTCGGCGAGACTCGTCCTCTTCTCCTCCTCCTCCTCCCTCCTCCTCCTCCTCATCATCATTCTCCTCCGCCTCCTCCTCCTCCCCCTCCTCCTCCTCCTCCTCCTCCGCCTTCTCCCTCCTCCTCCTCCTCCTCCTCCCTCCCTCCTCCCTGGCGAACACGTGTCGTGCCCGCCCCTGGGCCATTCGCTCCTACCGTCGCCGCCGGTGGACCCCCGAAGCAGGAGAGCCCAAAATCGAATCGAGAAGTCGGACCAGCGATCGAGCTGGATCGGAGCGGCGGAAGTCGACGGCCGAGCCGGCAGAAGCCGAGTCCGCGGAGATCGGCAGACCAGTAGGGCCTCCACTGAGAAATCGGAGCCCGGATCGGAATCCGAGGCCGAACATCGCATCGGAATCGGCATCCCTCGAAATCGAATCGAAGCGAATCGGGGGAAACGAAACGAGCCCTGCCGAAGCCCCACGGCGGCGCACGCACGGGGGTGGAGGGAGGGGGGAGGGCTTCTCAGAAGCACCCCTGCCTCTCGGAAGGCGCGGGCCCTACGTCGATAGATAAGGCCCGCGCCTCCTCAGAAGCAGGGGAGCTTCTAAGAAGACCTCCCCCCTCCACTCCCTTTTTTTTCGGCTTCGTGCGTGGTTCACTTCGCCAAGTGATGAAGGACGATCCTCGATGGTCCTCGCCAAAAGGAGAAATGCACACGTCCGAGCGACGCCAAGCCTCCTCCCGCCCCCCTCTGCGCGTGGCCGAGCCCTGCCGACGCCCCCTTCACCCCTGGCGCCGCGCGCCCCGCCCCCCGGTGCGGCGCCCGCCTCGTAGGCCCCGGCCGGCTGCTGCAGGGCCAGAGCCGGCACAGCGCCGGCGGCCGCGGAGGCGGCCACCGCCGCGGCGGCGGCCTCGGCGAGGGCGAGGGGCGGCGCTGCCAGGCTGAGGTCGGGCACGTCCCCCTGCGGGCGCGGATTTCGGACGAAAAATCGAGCGTAGCCAAACAAAAAAACATTCCAGAAGGATCCAGACATGGTGGAACATCGCCCCCAGGCTATCATATGACTATTATCAGAAAGATTCCTTCTGTGGAGGGACATGCCCGACTTAACGCCAGACATCACTGCACCGACCTTGCAGACGTGCTACAGCGGATGTTTGCGTGGATTTCTGCCAATGCAAGACCCCGAGACGTCGAGAGAAAAACGGAGTGAATTTCACATGGATTTATTGTAGTCTTCGTTCCTGGCCAAAACATCTCCACAAAATTCACTTCGACATCAGGAGCGAAATTCTCCAGGACACTCTGGGCCCACCCCATTGTTTTCGGAACGAAATCCGATCTGCGATGTTGGCGCCATGACCCCTTCGAGTCATGCAAAAGTCGCGAAGGGAAATGTTCAGCTGTTTTCGGCCTCTGGGGGCCCTTTGCGTGCTTCGTGACCGTCAAAAACGAACGACTCGGCATGAACATCATGACGTCGGGGGTCTGGGCTAGGGGGGACCAGCTCGGGGGGGGGGAAGCATCGAGCTTGGATGGGCGATACATCGCCAACTGATCGGCGATAGACCGCAGGTAGCGAATCCGCACGTGCCTGGGCGAGGCGGGCTGTCCGGCCCACATCGGCGATTCGTGGACGGTTGGGGGTCGATGCATCCCCCACTGTTGAGCAGGGACCGACCGTCCCGGCATCCCTATAGTCCTACCACGAAATGATCTTAGAACCAAACATGTTCTAAGAACAAAAGCAAGGTTCGTAGAACATAAACACGATGTGTAAAAAATAGGACAATCCCATCCAGAAATGTTCTAGGAGCATTCCGTGCAGGCCACAAACGGTTCTTAGAACATTCTCTGGTGGGCCTAGAGGAAAGGCCAAGACGCTTCGCCACTGCTCGAAACTAAGCCTATCCACCCTGACGTTGCCCCTGAGAAGGCGCCAACGCGGGCGCCGAACGGCGGCGGCCGGCGGATGGCCGAGGCGGCTGGCGGCGGCGATCCAGACGAACCCAGACATTAGCGTCTTGCAACAGTCAAGGCAAACGTTTTTATTCGCCGTCTTCGGCCTCTGGGTGGCCTCGCTGGGTCCCAGGACACTCAACAGAACTAGGGGAACGAAGAATGTTATAAACATAAAAACTGGGAGGTCCTCGAGGATTTCTCGGATCCGCGCTTGGGCCCCCTGGCGGGGCCTCCGGCGCCGCCCCTGGCGCGTTCCGTGCGCCAGGGAGGGGGTCCAGCGCCGATCCGAGAAATCCGCGCGGACCTCCGAGTTTTTATGTTTATGTCATCGCTTGTTTCCCTAATCCGCCGACCCCTTGGGGTCACGGCGTGTGAGATGCTGCCCCCTCCCAAAACCCCTCCCCCGGGAGCCCGGTCTGGCCGGTTTGGAGGGGGGTGGGTGGGCCGGGGGGCAAAAGTGTCAGCCACACCCTTGTAGCCTCAGGGGGCCCTAAAACGGGCCAAGAGGGCCCCAAAAGGTCCCCCGGACGGTCCAAGAGGGCTACGAGTCGCCGAAAGATCGCTCCAAGACGCCCAAGATCGCCTCCAGATGGTCCCAGAGGCCCCCAAGACGCCACAAAAAGCCACCAAGAGGCGTCCCCACAGGCCCTCCAAAGCAAAAATCGTTCCAATCCCAAGGGAAAACGTGCATTTTTAGCACATTCGCCTCTTGGGCTTTCACGAGGCCCAAACGGCCCAAGAAGCCTTCAAGATCGACCCAAGATAGCCCAAGAGGCCACCAAAAGGGTTCCAAGACGGCCCAAGAGGGCCCCAAGACGGCCCTAGAAGCTTCCAAAACGACCCAGGAGAGTCCCAGGACGGCCCCAAGAGGAGGTCCACACGGGGAACCCGAATGAACATTTCGAGCATTCGGCCCCGAAAAACTCTGAGGCGCCAATTGGCCCCCAAGAGGCTCCCACGAGGCCCCCGAGAGGCCCAAAAGAGGCTCCTAGAGGACTCGAAACGGCTCCCAAGAGGCCTCAAAAGTGCTGCCAGGAGAGCCCAGAAAAAAACTCAAGAGCAGAGCGGCGATCCGCCAGCCGCCCCCGACGAAATCCCAAGAAGGTGAAACCCCAAGTTTCCCCAGAGAAATCATTCCACAAACTCCGTTTCTCCCTCGTACTGCCGCCCCAAAGGGTCGGCGGTGCGGCGTCAGCCAATGAATAAAGACGGCTCAGGATACAGAGCCAGCCCCGGGGAAAGGGTCGAGACTTCCGGGGGCCCCGTCTTCATCCAAACATCGGTTTGGGAATGCGACGGCGGCGGACACGGCGGCGATGACGGCGGCGGTGGCGGTTGCCGCCTACGCCCCAGCCCCTGGCCCTCCCTCCCCTCGCCTCTCCATCCCGGTCGTGTCTCTTCTGGCGCCGAGAAGAGGTATCGAACCCTGGCTCTGACTGTGACTGGTGGCAGGAGCTGTCCAACATCCACAACGGCCGCTGTTGGTCAGGCGACTCTGCGCCGCAAAAGGACAACGTCCACGGCGACACGACAGCGAATCCTGTTCAACAAACATTGGCATGGACTGCTGTCGGCCTTTCGTGCAATCGGAATTAATTGGACAAGACACGCGACAGGACACAAGGGCCCCATTGCCATAGGAATGTAGGAGGCATGGGTCACGAGGGCAGGGGACATGTAGGAGGCATGGGGCACGAGGGGGACACCCTTGATTTGGCAGGGTCGACCTATGAATCTAGATGCCTCCCAAATGGGGCGGATATACTTGGGGTCGGAGGATCGCGCCGCATCGCCGATACATCGTCGATGAATCGGCGACGAATCGGCGATGCACCGGCGATACATCGGCGACCCCGGCGAAGCATCGGCGCCATCGGCGTGGAAAACATCGGGTTCCACATCGAACCGCATCGCCGATATATCGGCGATGCGGCGCGATCCTCCGACCCCATCCACACCGACCCCACCTGGAAGGCCTCGAATCAGGGCCGACTGGGCACATGTTTTCAGTGCCCACTCCGATCGTACCGACCCTCAGCGGCGGCGCGCACAAAGGGGGTAGGGGGAGGGGGGAAGGCTTCTCAGAATCGCCGCTTCTTCGTATTAGGCGCGAGCCTTACATTTACAGACAAGGCCCGCGCTGTCCAAGAAGCAGGGCTGTCTCGAAGCAGCCTTCCACCCGTATTTCCTACGAGAAAGCACCCCACATCCCCACATTGCCGGCCGATAGCCACCCCGCCGCGCTAACTTGCAAAAGCAAAACAAACTCGAACTGATGCTCGCCAACAGGTCGGCGAGTTGCGAAAAACTGCTACGGGAATGGGACAAAATTGACATCGCTTGGGTGACCCCAAGCGGGCGGTCGAGTCCTACCCATCGAATGCAATACATAATCAAAGCTTTCCTCGTCAAAATGGACATGTTTGTCGTCGACGCTGCGAAAAATGTAGCAGAAATGGGACGCGGCGCACATCGCGTGGGGACGCCTGGCCAACCCTACGTGAGACCCCCCGTCCTACCTGTCAAAAAACACCGCATCGTCGACGTTTGTCTTGCCAACCTGTATTTTCTCCCCGTCGGCGCTGCGAATCGCGTAGCGGGACTGGGACGCGGCGCACATCGCGCGGGGACGCCTGCCCGTCAACATGGACAGTCTTGTCGTCGACGCTGCGGCCCGTCAGGTTGAGGAGCTCGGCGGGCGGCAACTCACACTGCCTCAAGCAAGTGCGGTTCGCCGCCGGCGCGCCCGTTGTCGTGTCCACGTAACAGAGACCTTTTGCAACAGTGACCTTGGTGCGATCAATTCCCAAGAGGCATTATCCTCTTCCTCCTGCGTATCTCCTTCGTTCCCTCTCCCCCTCCCCTCCTCCTCCTCCTCCTCCTCCTCCTCCTCCTCCTCCTCCTCCTCCTCCTCCTCCTCCTCCTCCTCCTCCTCCTCCTCCTACCCCTCCTCCATGCGCGGCAGGAACGAAACGATTGGCGTTGCAACACGCGTGGCTGGAATAAGACGCGGCGCACTTCGCGCGCTGGACATGCTGTCGCCGACGATACAACATGACAGGCCAGAGCGGGGCGCGGCGTACATCGCGCGCGGTTTTGTTTCTCGTCGACGTTGCTCAATTCGCGGCAGGAATAGGACGCAGCGCATGTCGCGCGCTGAACGTCTAGCCGCCCACGATACAAGATGAGCGACAGGCGTCGGACGCGACGCGCTTGCTTCTTATATTGTGGGAAGGCGGGTGGGAGTGGACGGAGCCCTCTGGCTTGTTCGACCTGGCTGACTTGACCCCCACCGTACCCCCTCCTCGCGTGGCTGGAATACCCACTGCGATCGCACCGACCCTCCCCAAACATGCAACGTCATGATTTGTTCAAGACGGCGTCCCCGGAAGTCCCGACCCTTTCCCTTGGGCCGGGTTTTCGTCCCGAGCCGTTTGTTGACGCTCCCGGGGCCGGGCGAGGGCCCTGCAGGGGCCGAAACTAGCGAAAAACCTGCAGTCTTGATTTGTTGTACGACGCGATCGTGCCTGGCCTGCCATCGTACCGACCCTCTGGATCGATCCTTCAGTCGGGCATGTCCCCCTACAGGCGGATCTTGGACAACACCTTGACAATAGCCAATAAAAATCAAACAAAAACTCAAACATACAAACGGGCAAACAAACAACAACAACAACAACAACAACAACAACAACAACAACAACAACAACAACAACAACAACAACAACAACAACAACAACAACAACAACAAAACGTCCTCTGACTATTGTTGGACTATTTTTGACCATTCCACCTGTGGGGGGACAGGCCGGGCTTAAATCGATCCGAGCGAAGGCGGCGACGAAAACGGCCGGCAGCGGCCCACGGCGAGAGCGGCGAGGGAGCGGCCGGGAGGTCGCGCCTCGCCCCGGGGCGCGGGGACGAAGGGCGGCGCGGCGCCCAGGAGCGCGAGCGCGAAGGCGCCTGGGCCCCGGCCGGCGCGGCGCCCGCCGAGCGGCCAGCCGAGCGAGTTCCCCGAGATCAAGCACGTGGGTGCTGATATGTGGGCTCGTGCTCGTTACTATGTGTGTACTCATATGTACACACATAAGAATGAATACGTTTATGGATGTGTGCGTATGTGTGTATGTGTGCGCACATGTATGTATGTGTATATATATACATATATATGTGTATATATATGTGTGTGTGTCTGTGTATTCGGCATAAACTGGTGTGCGTGTATATGTAAACGTACGTGTGAACGGATATGTGTATGTGGGGGGGTGCCACAGCGGCAGCTATGTCAAAATAGAATTGTGCTGCGTGAAGAAACGTATCGCGCAAACACTGGAATCACCGCGGGCCTTCACCCGCCACGACAAAACAGACAGCCACACAATTCATGTGACAAGAAAGCCCCATAGGTTGAAGGGTGGGCTAGAGGGAGCCAGAAAGGACTGCAGAGCCAGATAGATCAAAGAAGACAGGACATACATATCTAGCACACTCCCTCGCGACGCATCTCCGAGGAATCAACCACCAGCAAAGCAACAATATGATTCCAGGGGAGGCGCCTGGCGGGGTGCCGGAGACGAGCTGCATCGTTCTCTCAGGCAACGGGGGGGCGCCAGAACGGCAGCTCGGTCAGAATAAGATTGCGCGCGAAGATACGTAACGCACAAGGACTGGAATCGCCGCGGGCCCTTTTCCCGACACGACAAAACAGACATCCGTATAATTCATTTGACAGGAACTCTCACACCAAGACCCTCAACAGGGATGCGAGCGGGCGGCGGCGGGGGAGAGGTCGGCAGACAGAACGTAGAACCGATGAGGGCGCTGCGCGGCCACCTCGCACGCGCATTGCCACAGAAAAAACCTCTCACATGGCACTGTGCTCACTCGCACGACTGGCGATTCGCAGGAGTCAAGCGATTGTGAGCTTGCTGGATCTTACCAGGTCTTGCATAACGACGCACAATATCATCGCGTTTGACTCTGACACGGGACTGCGTTTCACACATGGTGCGGCGGCGATTCAGCAGATCATCTGCGGCGCCGCCGTGGCGCAACTGGCACAAAGACGCATCAACTCCGAGCTCGGCGACAGCAGCTTCGAAGAGGCGCGCAACTCTGACGGCGCCCAAAACTCCGAAGCATGGCCTACCCAGGGCCCCGGGACGTCGCCTGGTCACGTCTGGGAAGTCGAAGACGACGGCGCCATCGAAGGTTTGGGTCTTCGACGGCAGCAGCTTCTCCCCAAGCGCCACGATTAGAGACCGCCAACGGAGAGCCGCCTCCTCTGGCGCCCCGGGCTTGACCAGGTCGCCCACCGCGGCGCGGAGCACCTCCCCGGGGCGGAATGAGCCCGCGAAGACGGTCTCGACGCACAGGGCCGCGCCTCTCGCCATCGCGACGATGGCGCAGATGCCCGACCTGACCTCGATCTGCAGCGGCATTCTGCCGACGGGCGGGAGCCGCTTTCCGCGTCCCTTGAGGGCTCGCTGGAGCCGAGGCTAGGTCGCGGATCCTGCCTGGCAGGGCACTGCAGAGGAGGCCACGCGCCGCCTGCCCGCCAGAAGCTCGTCCAGGTAGTCGAGCGGGTTGACCTCCAGCTCGCTGCGGTCGTCGGTGGCCCTGCCTCGGCGCAGCTGCCGCGCGCGGAACAGGCCCTCGAAGCGCGCGCGCGGCCGCGCCCATGGAGCCGACGGTCGCGAGCTCGCAGGCGCCGAGGTCGCCCGCCTGAAATCGGCGCCCAGACGTCGGGGGCAGCGGCCGCGCAGCAGGAGAGGGGGCCGCGGCAGGGCGCCGCCTTGGGGTGCCACGCCCTCGGCCGCGGCCCACCGATGGCACCGCCCGCCGCGGCGCGACCCCGCCGGGGCCCCAGCGGCCTCGCAGGAAGCCGACGGCGCGGCAGCTGTCCGACAGACCGACAGGCTCTGCTCCCGACGTAGGCGCTCAATAGAGCGCAGGCCGCGCCTCCGCCAGCCGCTCGATAAGACGAGACGGAGCATCAGCAGGATTGAACTCGCTCGGCACCCATCTGAGCGCCACCCAGGAGCCCGTCGCGATCGAGAGGGCCGCCGCGCGACGGACCAGCCGCAGGCGCCCGAAGGAAGCTGCGCGCCCTCTTGAGAAACAAAGGGCTGCGCCGAAGTGGCCAACAAGGACGGGGCGCCACTGGCGCGGACGACGGGGGCCCCGAAGCCCGAGGCCCCTCGAACCTGCGCCCCCTCGCCCCCCAGCATTTCCAGGGACCTCGGGGGAACCCGCAAGAGGCCCCCAGGCCAACTCCGAGGGGGCGCCGCCGAGCACGTCGAGGTCCCAGGGGCCCGCGTCCGAGGTCGCGGCGCCCGCGAGGGGGCCCAGGTCGACCGCTGGGGCCCGTCTACGAGGGGCCCGCTCCGAGGGGGTAGGCGCTGGCATCTCCACCTCTCGTTCCACCGACCCACCTCACCGACTTCGTCACTGGCGAACTCGGCCGCCATCACTCCCCACCCACTACCAGATGCATCGGTCGCGAGGACTGACGAGGACCACGGGCGCCCGAAGCTGCCCGAGAGCAAGGGGGCCAGGCTGGCACAGACCAGGGGCCCACGACACACGGAGCCCCACAGGGGCCTCGGCGTCGCGGCAGCCCCGAATGAACACGCAGGAGGCCCGCAAGACCGATCACGCAGGCCGCAAGTTGACGGCCTCGACGACGAGGCGGCCCAAGAGGCGCTCGAGGGCCCTTCCCGAGATGCGACCACTCCGAGCAGCGCGCCGCAGAGCACCCAGAAGAGTCCAAGCCCGCGCGGGCCCGGGCCCCCGATATGTCCGAGCAGGCGGGGGCCCGAGAGATCTCGCGCAGGACAAAACCCTTCCACTTAAAGACATGGATATAAGCCCGTTGGGGCGCTTCTCGGCCCGGTCCTCCGACATCCCGAAAACGGCCAGGTCGTCGCGACATGGCAGAGCAATGGGATCGCCCGACTGAAAGGGGGCAGGCCAGGCATTCGACATGATGAGCTCCCGTCTTAACCCAGCCTCTCTGAGCAACTCGGCGCGCAGGGCTTGGGCAATGTAAAACGACCGCGCCCAGCCCATCGGCAGCCCGAGCAGACAGGGGAAGGCGCCCCCCTTTCCGAGGGCAACGGCCCCCCCCGCGCATCTGGGCCCGCCCACCACTGTTTGCCGGGCCAACTGCCGCGGCTCCGAAGCTGGACAACGCATTAAGCGCAGCTGGCACACAGCGCTGGTAAAAGCAATTATGGGCGCCCCCCGTCGCCGCAAAAACAGGGGCGTCTCCGTCGGGGACCCCGGGGCCGCGCATGTTCTCAGCCGAGCTCATCTCAGGCTTTGGAGGGCGGCGGAATAGCTAGTTGACTCTGCGACAGTCGAGGGCGAGCCCCCGACGATTCTGTTGCTTTCTGGCGAAGAACGGCGCGCCCACGCCATTGGGGGCCCCACTAAAACCCAGGGTCCCACACTCGAATAAGCTTCCGGGGAACGTGATTTCGACGCCCTTGCCACCCTGGATTCGGGCGTCGGCGCAGGGCCCCGCGGGCTCGCATCGCAGACGGCGCTCGGCAACGCCGGCATCGGCCAAAATATTCTCGAAGACGAGACAGCGGCCGAGCTCAACAGGAACAACATGAGTCAAATCGACGGGCGAGACTGGCCCATTGGGCGAGGACACCTCGGTCGGGTCGCACGGCTCGACCGCGCGCGCAAGCGTCTCGCAGGGCGCCAGGCAACTCGCAGAAAGAGGCGCGGCCACTTTGTACATGATCGGGAAGTCCCAATGCGGCAATGGAGAACAGATGCTGGTGAATCGCGCTGCGCGCGGAGCTGGGGCCGACGTCGGCGCCGGCGCCCTCGCGCAGCGGCAGCGCTGAGAGCTCCCGCGGGTCGCGCCCGAAGAGCAGGTTCAGGCCGTCGACTGCCTTCTGCGCCGCCGACTGGACGGCGAGCCGCCGCTCGTGGCCCAGCCGAGCCGCCCCCCCGCTGCCGCCCACAGGGCGCTGGCCACGAGGGGCGCCTGGAAGGGGGGAGAGACCGCGACTGCGCCGATCCCCCGCTGCCTATTGCCGTCGGCGAGGCCAGGCGCCAGGACGGCGCTGCGCAAAATTGCTACCCAAGGAGACCCCTCAGACATCGCGCCAGCGTTCGCGTCGAAGATAGGGGCAGCTTCTGGCGTCGCCACCCCCGCCCCCCTCTTCATTGATTGGCGGAGGCCGCGGGGTCTGCATTGGAATTCGCAGTCGCGACGGCGGTAGCCCTGGCCTCCCGAGCCTTCCTCTTCTCCTTCAAGATAGCCGCCTCTTTGATGAGACCCATCGCAACGTCGGCGCGCAGCGACGGGACCGTCTGCGCACCGCCTGCCCGGTCGCCGATGCCGAGGTAGAGATCGCAGCCCTCGTAGCTCGGGGCATCGGGGTTCTCGGCCACTGCCTCCTCATGCAACGTGTTCCGCCGCAAGAGGAGCTCGACGCCCGCCGGGCTCTTTACTTTGAGCCCGTCGACCGCGGCCAGCAAGTAGACTGCGCGGTGGGGGATGCAGCGTTCGTGGGCGGCCGAGCTGCGTTGCCTCGCAGCACTGTCACTGCGCCACTTGTCCGCGCGTGCAACCTGGCTTGCGACGCCGCCCCTGATCACTGAATCGACTCACTCGGCCCCGAGGGGCGGCCCCAGCAATGGCTTGAGCCGCGCCAACCATCGCACACAGCAACGCTGCAAACAATTGCCGCGCAAAGAGAAAAACCTCACAACATGACAAAACAAGCATCATAACCATGGCCGCGCGCAGGAAGCCGATCCAACCGCGCGAACGCACCTGCGCAACGCAACAACACGTCGACGCGCACATGGCGCACGCGCCGGCGCGCTAAACCGCAAGCCGCGACCACGCTGAAACGCGGAACCGCTGGCAACGGGCCGCGCTTGAAAGCATGAGAGACTCTGGCGGGCCTCAGCGGCCCCCCGCTAAAGCAAAATCG